ACACACACACACACACACACTAGAGGCCCGGTGAATGAAAATTCATGCACTGGAGGAGGGGGGTCCCTCAGCCCGGCCTGCCCCTCTCACAGTTCAGGAGCCCTCAGGGGCAGGAGGTGACCCTTCGATCAGAGGAAGGCGATGCCCCATCACACCTCTGCTGCTGCCACTACCAGCAGCTCAAGCCTTGGCCGGCCCTGGTTACCTGAGCCTTGGGCGGCCCTAGGGAGGCTGGGCAGCTACTATCTGAGGCTTGCCTGAACCTTGGGCCGGCCCTGGGTGACTGGGGGGCTGAAGGGACTGGGGGACTCCGGAGGCAGGTGTACGGAGCAGCTGGGCCTATCTGGGGGCGGGCCTGGCCTTACTGCAGGCCTGCTGCCTCAGTGGGGCTGAGGGGACTGGGTACCACCATCTTGTGGCTGTGGGAACCACCATCTTTGAGGGCATGGCAGTAATTAGCATATTCCCTCCTTATTGGCTGTGGGCGCCACCATCTTTGAAGGTGGGGCAGTCAATTAGCATATTCCCTCCTTATTGGCTTTGGGCACCACCATCTTTGAAGGTGGGGCAGTCAATTAGCATATTCCCTCCTTATTGGCTGTGGGCGCCACCATCTTTGAAGGTGGGGCAGTCAATTAGCATATTCCCTCCTTATTGGCTGTGGGCGCCACCATCTTTGAAGGTGGGGCAGTCAATTAGCATATTCCCTCCTTATTGGCTTTGGGCACCACCATCTTTGTGATGGCATGAGGGTCAATTAGCATATTCCCTCTTTATTTATTTATTTATTTTTCGAATTAAAGAGTCACATTTATTGCAATCCGGGACTATGAGGGGCCATTTTGCTTTCCCAAATCTCATAGTAGTAAGATGGTGGCAAAACCAGACTTATATAGGCAAAGATCACAAAGGTATTGATTACATCTCAAGGTTTGGAATGAGGAACCTGGTTTGCAAAACAGCAGTTAACAGAAGCAGAAGCAGCATGTTATCTAAATTACAGTTTTGGGTCTCTGGAACACTGAGTCAACAGGGACACGTTAACTGGAGCCCTCTGATCTTGGGATAACTGTGCTGTCCTTCCCAGATAAAGGAAAATGTGCTTTCTAAGACCAGTATGACCACTACAAATGGGATTTCACATTATTAGATAGGATATATGACAAGGAATCTAATAAGCAAAATAAACTGATGAATAAAATAGAACCAGAGGCATGGAAACATGGAACAGACTAATGAATCTTAGAGGGAAAGTGTGTCTGTGTGTGGGAAGAGATTAAGCAAAGATCTTACATGCATATATGCATTACCTATGGACACAAACAACAGGGTAGTGAAGACCTGGGGCAGGGTGGGACCCAGGCAGAGGGGGGCAATGGGAGGGTAAAGGGAGACATCTGTAATACTCTCAACAATAAAAATTTTAAAAAATAATGATACTAAAAATATAACATTTAATATGTAATAAAAGTCATAGAATGATACATTCACTTTAGTGTCATTTATGTAAAGTTAAAATACTAAATAATTATGCATATTGTGTAATGGTATAAACCTATGTACTATAAACACCAAATTTATGAGATTAGTTGCCTCAAGGAGAAAGGGAGGGGGTGATTGTTGAGGAAGGGTGTACACCTGGCTTCATTTATATGTGTGACATCTTATTTCTAAGGAAACTGGTACATATACTAGTGCACATTACTGCCGGGGTGACCGGTACACCCTGAGCAATGGTGGAATGATTACTCTGATACATGTTTCTGTGAAAGAGAGAGCTAAGGGACTGCTTGGCTATAGGAACCAACCAAACAGCCCCATTCACCTGCCTCCTTAGGCTTTTATTGTAACAACAGCTTGAACTAAAATTAACTATTAGATACTATCAGCAGGGTAAGTAACCTTGAAAAGACACATGGGTCTGTAGTGTCCTTTGAGCAAGGACATCTGAAGGCTAAGCATAAAGACTCCAGGAAATACCCAGGGGTTCAGACTTGTTTGGACAAGTCAAGGCAGGGGCAGCCGCCTTCAGCCAACTCCTGTCCCATGCCTTCACCACCCTATTGTTTGTGTCCATAGGTAATACATATATGCATATGTTCTTATTTATTTATTGTTGACACTATTACAGATGTCTCCCATTCCCCCCCCCTTCTTCTTCTTCTTCTTCTTCTTCTTCTTCTTCTTCTTCTTCTTCTTCTTCTTCTTCTTCTTCTTCTTCTTCTTCTTCTTCTTCTTCTTCTTCTTCTTCTTCTTCTTCTTCTTCTTCTTCTTCTTCTTCTTCTTCTTCTTCTTCTTCTTCTTCTTCTTCTTCTTCTTCTTCTTCTTCTTCTTCTTCTTCTTCTTCTTCTTCTTCTTCTTCTTCTTCTTCTTCTTCTTCTTCTTCTTCTTCTTCTTCTTCTTCTTCTTCTTCTTCTTCTTCTTCTTCTTCTTCTTCTTCTTCTTCTTCTTCTTCTTCTTCTTCTTCTTCTTCTTCTTCTTCTTCTTCTTCTTCTTCTTCTTCTTCTTCTTCTTCTTCTTCTTCTTCTTCTTCTTCTTCTTCTTCTTCTTCTTCTTCTTCTTCTTCTTCTTCTTCTTCTTCTTCTTCTTCTTCTTCTTCTTCTTCTTCTTCTTCTTCTTCTTCTTCTTCTTCTTCTTCTTCTTCTTCTTCTTCTTCTTCTTCTTCTTCTTCTTCTTCTTCTTCTTCTTCTTCTTCTTCTTCTTCTTCTTCTTCTTCTTCTTCTTCTTCTTCTTCTTCTTCTTCTTCTTCTTCTTCTTCTTCTTCTTCTTCTTCTTCTTCTTCTTCTTCTTCTTCTTCTTCTTCTTCTTCTTCTTCTTCTTCTTCTTCTTCTTCTTCTTCTTCTTCTTCTTCTTCTTCTTCTTCTTCTTCTTCTTCTTCTTCTTCTTCTTCTTCTTCTTCTTCTTCTTCTTCTTCTTCATCTTCTTTCTTCTTCTTCTTCTTCTTCTTCTTCTTCTTCTTCTTCTTCTTCTTCTTCTTCTCCCTCATCTTAAAGAATGCTCAATATCCCTAACTGTCAGAGAAATGCAAATTGAAACCACAATGATATATCACCTCACACCTGTCAGAATGATTATCATCAGTAAATCCATAAACAGCAAGTGCTGGTGAGGATGTGGAGAAAAGGGAACCCTGGTGTACTATTGGTGTGAATGGAAATTGGTGCAGCCACTATGGAAAACAGTCTGGAGGGGCCCCCTAAAATTAAAAATGAAACTGCTTTATCACCCAGAAAATCCAATTCTGGGTGTACATCCAAAGAAACCCAAAACACCAATTCGAAAGAAATGCACCCCTATATTCATTGCAGTGTCATTTACAATAGTCAAGATTAGGAAGCAACCCAAGTTTCCATCAACAGAGAAGTGGATAAAAAGTGGTGGTACATATACACAATGGAATATTACTTGGTCCTAAAGATAATTAAATCTTGCCATTTTCAGAAGCATGGATGGACCCAGAGAGTATTATGTTGAGTTAAGACAAATACCATATGATTTCACTTATCTAGAATCTAAAGAATAAAATAAACAAACAAACAAGTTAGAAACATAGATACAGAGAGCAGACTGATGACTGCCAGAAGGGAGAGGGGTTGGGAGACTTGGTGAAAAGGGTGATGGGATTGAGAGGTATAAATTGGTAGTTACCAAATAGTCACAGGGATGTAGG